CACAGCACTTTATTCGCAAAATAATAGTAAAATATCGCGGCACTGTACGTAACGATCCTTCTCTTCCCGCGGACGGAAAGAGACTGTGAGTGGCTCGTTGGTCTAGGGGGATGATTCTCGCTTAGGGTGCGAGAGGTCCCGGGTTCAAATCCCGGACGAGCCCGTTTTTTTTTCTTTTTTTCCTTCTCATTATATAACTGTCAAAATTAATTGACCATATAACATTGTGAAGAATTTTTGGAAATTCGCCATTGGCGCACATTGCGAAATTCCGTGAACCGAAATAACCGAGTTCGGAACGAACTACTTGATTCGTCACGTTTAAAAAAGAACGATGTTTTCGCGCAATCCTGCGAGTGCTAATGATTTATATTTATCCATTTGTTTTTAGTAACGAGAGCTGCACATTTTTTCGTTATTGCGTCTCGCGCATGAGAATTTCTTAAAAATATCGTTGAACTCAATTTTTCGAAATTTTCTTTAGTACACTTCACGCGATCTTGCGTAGTCATAAAGATCAAGATATACCTAACCTGCTCGAGAGTCACGTGACCTTTTTTTTTATACGCGAAAAGCTAAAAAAATTTGAATATTTTACGGAGTAAGGTCGAAGAAAAGAAAAATCTAATTTTGCAATAACCGATAGGCATGAAAAATACTCTTTACAAATTATCCCCCTATCGAAATATTCTCAAGAAAACAATTATGTTTTTGCGCCACGCTTATAATCGATGACTTCCGACCGTAATGAAGTCGACGTGATTTCTCGCTAAAAATAATAACTTTACGACCGCGAATTGCGAAGCGCGAGTTTTCAATGCATACCAGTAATACCGTAAAGAGAAAGAGAGAAAAAAGACAAGATCGTTGCTTGAAAATGGCAGAGGTTACACATTTATTAAAAATACGATAAATGGCATCTATTCCGATCCATCTGCCGATTTTAATCATTATCCCCCCTTAAAAAAAAAATCATCAACTTATAGAGAGTGTACAAAAAGTTGCATCATCGATACCTAATCCCGATATCCCTCTGATCAATGATTTCCATTCGCCTAATGATTTCTAATTATCACAGTGATCGATAAGCATTGCATTGATTCTCATGACGTCATTATCCTCACTTGATACCGGTTCGGCTAGAATCATCGTCATCCAGGGACAGATAGAGACTTCGTAACGTGAGCAGGTGATTCTTATTCTGCAAGGAATTTGCAAGGCACGTTCGCCAGGACCGTTAAGAAGTATAAAGATAAAATAGTTTAACGTACTAAGATCATAACGTAATCTTCAAAGAGAAGTATTTTTATAGTAAATGAAATTTCGAAAATTTAATAATAAAGTGACATTGAATTATTATCATTAGGAAACTTTGGCATCTTTTACTACACGCATATATATATATATATATATATATATAAATCGTAGGCCTGAGCGCCGAGTGGTCAAAACCGAATTGTGATACCGAGACTTAGTTTAGCTTGCGTTTACCTCCGTCTCCGTGAGTCAGTGAGGCTCGCGCTTTCGAGCGGCAAGCACCGATTCTCTTAGTTAATCATTTCAATCGAGTGACAATACACAGCACATGACGAACGAGCAAATTTTCATATAAATTCAACATTGAATTTATGAAATAGATTATCGTTGAAACAACTTTTTCCCGATTCGTGCAATAATTTTCTTTAGTGAAGAAAAACAATTTGACTGGATCACAGCAGGAAGGTGTTACGTGAGTAACGTCTGTCTTTTATTTTGAGACTGCACTTTGTGAGGCAAGACTGAAATTTGAAATTTTTTTTTTGCCAATCTTGAGTATTGTGAAATAAAAATATATTTTTAGAGGTGCCTCGGGATGACAGTTTTGCGAGATTATTTCTATGCTTACGGTCGTCGAGAGTAATGGGGCAACGACTTGAGATTTCCTAAGCAGAAGAGATCAAAGACTTCTTTTTTATTCGATTCGTGTGGTCCACTTTGGCTACTGCGAAACGATTCTTGGCAATGTATAAAAATAACGTTGTGATTCCTTGCTGAGGATTCGTGCCAAAATAATTGAAATCTTTTCGAAAAGTATGTGATAGCGGAATAATGGGTTTGATAAAAGAAATTTTTTTTTTGTTACATTGGAACAGTCTGGTTTTTTTTTTAATGGGAATAATATAACATATATATATATATTTTTAATATCACTATTGTGACTGCTCTGCGAAATTGTAGGAATTACGGCAAATAGTGATATGAGATTAAGCAGCGTGACGACCTATATTGGTAATAGAGATTTTAGAATTTACGTATCACTTGTACGTCTTATACATTATGTGTATACGTTCAAAGGTGGAATTGAAAGATAAAACTGTAATAATTAAAATTTGTTGCATGATTCATATCAATCTATTAATAAATAGTACATAGAGACTGATGGAACTGATTTCTGATAAGCGCTATCATAATGGCTGTTTTAATTTATCATAATAAAACAAAAACGAGCGAGGAGAATATCTTGATTATATTTTTGGTTCATTAAATTTTTACGTTCACTCAAATTGCCTTCAGACTCTTGTCAAAATGACGGAAATTCCTGGAAGGGAAGTTTATGAAAATAACCTTGGCGCCAAATTCGAATACATCGAGGAACTGGCCAATCCGTATGAATTTATTAGGTAGTCACTGATACCTTCGTTAATTCTTACAATCTACGTATGCACGAATTCGCATAATTGCACAATGCAATTCGAGGATTGTTTAAAATTACCAATGTCATGGAATCATATTCGCCTGAAACAATTGTATTAAAACGTAGACAATTGGATATAGTAAAATTCTAACCTTGACGATCGGCATGACTTTCCATAAGTTTCCTGTTACGCTATCAAATTTCATACCGAGAGGAATGACTCGCGCTACGATTTTATCGAAGCCCACGAATTCCACAGTAAATTCCGGATTGGCAGCCATCATCAAATCCTTGAAATATTTTTGTGAAATAATAATAATTTTTTTAAAATCCCGTCAAACAGCATTCTCTGCAATTGTGACAAGCCACAAGATCTAGTAAGACAACAACGGTACAACAGTAAATTCAAACAGCTAAGAATTAGGATTGCGGTCTACTCGTATAGCAATGGCGTAGAATTTGAAAATGTGTAAAAATATATCAAGACTTCCTGGTGGGCGTGAGAAGAAATTTTTATCGCAGAAGGCTGCGACAGTAAAATCCTAGACAACTCCACTGTTTATTAATAATCTTCGAATTTCATTTTGCACTTAATCATTTCACAAAGTTAAAATACACAAACAGGTTAGACAAGATAGAAATTTAGTGCCGCGCGAGAAACGTCAGACGCGTTACTCGCCGCGTTCGCAAACTCATCAAAATTCCGTCTCCGTGAAAACTCGCATCGATTCTTAAGGGGTTTTTCACAAGTTTATAAAAATCCCTACACAGTATTTACTCGCAAATCAGTAAAGTCAAGTAGCCGTATTCTGGTACGTGACTGCGAGTCATTAATGTAAAATGCAGCGTTTGTCCCTCTGTGTCAGATGCAATAGTCTACGGTCAATGTCAAAAGAGGATATCTCGATAAGCTTCAAATATCTGTCAAGCAGACACCGTGAATAGTTCAAGGCTTGATTTTAAAAATTATCACAGTCGCTTTAAACTTTGAAAAAAAATACCACAGTATTGGGATGGGTCAATTTATACAAATTTACAAAAATACCAATTGATCCGATTTTTTGTATGGACGATTGATCATCGTTATTTGATTTCTTCATAAAGAAATTTCGCAATTATTTAAATAATCTATATATATCTTTATATTATATCATAATTGCATAGATACAATCCAGCCTGTGCGGTCAGAAATGCCAATGCCTGTTGGCAGGAGACGCTACAGCGGTAAACTGTCATTGCTATATTTACCAGGAGCTTAGGGCGTGACTGTCAATAAAATTTGCCCGTCAAGCTACGCGAAACGATTAATTGTTCAGATACGTGTAAAGCGGAAGTTACGCACGTTCATTATCACCATACGCGTAACGTGTAACATATGACGTATGCAGGCAGGCCTTTATATATAGTCACTCTATTGATTAAATCATTCTTTAGAATAGTAGTATTGAAAATAAATTAAAAATTGATGAATCCTTAATGTGTTTTCTCGCAAGGAGTTCGATGCCGAACGTAATATTATTTCACCTGACCCGGCCCACGATTTTCTGTATTATGTATGCGCGGGATATTTAAATTCTTACAGTGCCCTCGATTCTTATTAGGATTCCGCTTCGATGCGGAATTTCGTGACAGCCACACTTTGTGAATTGGCTGCTGAACAAATTTTTATTTCAATTTTCATCCGAGTACGGCTGCCTGGAAAGTTTGCGTTTTTACTTATCTCTGATTTCAGAAGAACTTTGTACATCATATCCCTACAGGAAAGAGTATATTCTATTGAAACTCCTGGTGTCACAAGAATGTGACAATCTATCTTTTATCATAAAAAATCCTATGAATATCTTCATAAGGTGTTTCCGGGCTTCTTTGTGTCTGCAATCTTCATTTATCTTGCGGCCAATTAAGCGACGATTCGTTCCTGATACCAAATCTAGATTGATTTTATTTAGAACGTATGTATCTTGTACAAAGATAGTATACGTTAGGAATGTAGGGCATCACGTGCGTGAGCTTCTTTGGTTGCCTCCGTTAAGCCGCATCTCTATTTTTAGCAAAATTACGCAGTGTGATTTTCAAAAATATTGACTGAGCTTGTACTTGCACATCCTGTTGAGCACATGCAGTTGGGACGGTGAAGATAACCTAACCTGTTGAAGAATAAACTGTACTCAATAAGTGAAGAGACGACGAAAGTTCACACAGGGCACGCCAAAACGTTATAAATCCTATGCTGATCATTCACTGATAATGCATTTATTGATAAAACTAATAAATTAATTCGAAATAAAAATCTTTGGCGATTAATTGTTCTTTCACTCACCAGACACATTTTGCGATTGCTAAGCCTTGCGCACTTGTTTTCTGTCCATTCTTGTATAGTGAAAAATTATATTTTATGAAATAACGTTAATCCATAAATTGTCGAAAAAAATTATACGTTACCCTTCGAAAAGTTTATTACGTCAATTTATTATAACGTTAAACTCTGTCTCTTTAACGTAATAATATCCTTGTTGGCTTTGCAATATGAACTTCCTTATCGCATTCCTGTGGTACCGACGTCATAACTCAAACCACTTGACTCGCATTGTCAATCTCTTGACAGAAATCAGTTGTCCGTCATTGACTTATCTGCGAGGAAGAGTATCTCGCACGTAGACATTAAAAATACACTTTAGGAAAACTTCCATCCGCATTCACTTAAAGAAGAAAAAAAAAAATTACAGATTCCAGTATCGATTAATTAAGGTATACAGTGATTTAGTGAAATCTCAGAATACGACCATGAAATTGTTCGATGATGATCATCATCGACCGATTCATGGCGTAACGTTTTCATCGACAGAACATTAATTACCAGTTAATTACCAGTTTCCTTACGCGCTATATTCATCGACTTTAATCATCCTACACGAAACAAAAAAAAAACACGATAGCCCATTGTAGTTATTACTATTTTTTTTCCCCACAAGATCGTCCAATCTGAATCCACTCAAAATTAAACTCCCTTTTGTACTCACGTTCTACGTAGCCTTCAAGATAACCTATAAGTACATGGAATCTCAGACAGAAACGTATCCGCGCGATGAATCAAGCTTCTTGGCAAACTGTCAGAAGCCAAGAGAGCAGCTACGTCATGGGAAAGACTGCATAGTTTTCATTGGCAGATTCATATGTATGACGTCGTGCACGTTTGATAATTGCATTATGTATAATACCATGGAAGTTTCGGTGATAATTCAAAACGAAATAAGATCCTCGATAATTAAATTCCGTCCGTCTTTCTTCTTCCTGTCGTGACAATCACAATGAGGGGTATGACGCAATCGAAATATTATAGTTTCGATACGCGCCGCTCCGCGTCGCCACTGACGCTAATAGACAAGATGGCTAATTCGTACTCTTAAACTGTAGCAGTGAAATCGCAATGCGTTTCACGTCAATGAACTGTTAATGAAAGAAAACTAGGTCAAGAACAACGATACAGTTTTATCGTTGATAAACGTAAGACGAGCCGGTGCATTAATTACATTGGATTAATTGCATCGTTTTCTTATTCGCGTTATACAGCTTAATCGTAACTGTCGATACAATACGTAATTTGTATAAATCATTTATGAATTACACGAGTGAATTTAAAATCGGATATGCGTATAGTGTTTATTGAACTGGGATTATAAATGACTTGTTAGATAACGGATATTTCTTTGAACGTAGGTGATGATTGATAAAAGAAATTATTTTGAATTTTTTTCTTAATTGATATTTTAAATAATGAATTATATTAGAATACAAATTTACAATGATAAGGGTATTATCGTTTTTCTCACGATTGTTACACCGTGTACGTTTGTAGTACGACTTTTCAAATTACTACGTCAAAGTCGGCATAGTTTGTTCTCACGCACTGTTGACAAATGGCTTTATCGTTTTGAGTCAATAGTCATGACGAAATTTTTTCGTTGGACGAGATTCTACATAGGAAGATTCTAAGTCACTGAATTGTCTCGTGTGTGAGATGTTAATTAGCTTACGTACATACAATCGATACCAATTGACACGAAATTGACTAGTAAGTAATGGGCGGTGTCATCGTAAACGGGATAACCAAAAATTATCATAATTTCTCGTTAAAGGTTCTTACTGACAGTGTATAGTCTTTTTTGGGTCTTTTTTGACGTTATTAATATCCCTTTCGACGTGTCTGCGCAAATTAACGTTTATTGCCTGACACGTCATACGCAAAATGGTCGTTTTAACGAAACGAAATGACTTTATGGGACTTAGAACAGTGGCACGATATAAGGTTAAGTAGCCGTCCCAGTTACAGTGTGTCCACGTATTTGCATTAATTGAACAGCGTCAATGGAATTATTACAAAGAGACAGAGAGAGAAAGAGAAAGAGAGAGAGAGAGAGAGAGAGAGAGAGAGAGAGAGAGAGAGAGAAAAGAAAAAATATAAGAAAAATTATAGACTGAGAGAATCGTCTCTATGTCGGCGGAATTCAAATGAAAAAAAATCGTAGCTAGTTATGGCTGGTCATTGCGTAAGGAATTGTTCGACCTCTTGGAAACAATAACGGACGTTCCAGTCTGGTAGATTTCATCAATATTGTAATGGGGATCGATCATCTAGATTGTGACACGACAAGGAGAAAATTTAGTTTACCATCTGCAGAACTAACGAGTCCCTAAACTCCATCTATAAACTGATACCTTAAAAGTCTGCACTATGTCTCACATGGTTAACTCTCGTATACACTTGTGATTCCGATTAAATCCTCTTAATAACAAATAATGCCCACATATTTGTGCTTTTTACGTCATCTGTTATCCGGTAAATGTCAAGAGTAATTTTCTGTATGTTCGGTCAAGATGCACACGATAGATCAGTTCTCGTTAGCCAGACTTTTCAAAAAGTGCAGATTCTCATTGGTTACTTAATAACATCATCCGATAAGAATTTCGACTTTTTGAAAAGTGCAGAAAGTCTAGGCAACGAGAACATACCTATCGAATGCCCTCGTACTTCGGTTTCAAATATTCAAGAATTAATGACACATTGCGATTTAACCTAGAAATAAGAAATTTGTCAAACTCGAATCTTTATTTATCGTACCTCGTATCCCAATTTCTTAATGGTCGAACCTTTGGCTTCGTTCCTCTTGTTCTGTTACTAAATAGATAAGTTGACTCGACCAGGTGGTCACTGCTTGACGAAATCGCACGACCATGGCTGCCAACTGTTACCGAACTGACGTAGTGATATTTCTGCCGCGTGCATACGAAATTCTCCACGTAAATCCTCACGCGCAGTGCCGCGCGATTTCAGTGTAAATAAACGTTCACAAAGTCGTGTCATTACGAATCTTCTGTTATTATTGATGCACCAGGCCACTTATCAGAGCATTGCCATTTCTACTGGCCGTTGGCCAACAGTTGGTCTCTTTCGCTGGTTCTAGCATGTGTATTTTCGATCTGTTGCTGTCATTTTCTTTTTCTTACATCTTCGGGCATGACGTGTGAATCTGATGATCAGATGATAGCAAAACGAAAGACGAAACTAGTTGAAAAGTGCTTTTCGATGTATGGCGTAACTTGACAGCTGTTTCGACGCCATATTTGAATATCGAACTCTTTGTCCAATCGCAAAAATAGATTTAACGCCAGTAGCCTTTCTTTTACTTCCCCATGACTAATTTTCACTTTTATTATGAGTACTATTCTAGATTTCTCAGAAACCGGAAATAATAGTGCACACGTACGACGATTTACACGCTTTCGTTTTTTCCTTTTTTTTTACACTATAATTTGAATGCCTCTGTCTACGTTAGGATATACGACGTTGCCATTATTAAACTATACCGGATATGCACAAGTACGCTTTTGGTATGTATATCTATACAGCTCTAGAGATTCAAAATTAGTATCGTTTATGACTGACTCTATTTTTATGGTGTGTACACACTGCACTTTACTTTCAGGGTTGGTTATGATCGAATGTTAATGTTCTATGCTAATTTTGGATCGTGTGCAATGGTATTGCCATGAATCATACGTTGGGCAGAAGTACCATTATGTATATGTATTTTAACGTATTCTCTCTTAACTCGACACCGATAACGAAAAATTCGAGAATTGACCTACGTTACCTTCGGCCGACCACCCTTAGCTTATGTATCCACAAGCCAGGCGGCGCCAGCCAATTCTTTTTCACTGGGAACTGACGAGCCGGTATGACCTGGAGTTGGGGTGGAACGGGCCCAACTCCGCCAAAACGAGAGCTCTGACGGAACCTATCAGATAATGCGATAATTTGACGGATCCTGTAGATTTTTGGGGACGCGTAAAATCGTGAAACGCAACCATAGGTTTTAAGTTTTCTTTGGGGTCGCGTAAAATCAGCAAACGCAACTGGATACACGAACGGGAGCGGACGGTTACGGAAATGCACGGCCGCTCAAGCTGCTAGGTTTGAGGTAGAGAGGGTCGGAGTAAGAGTCCGGCAAATAGTGCGAGAGACAGAGAGCGACGAACCGAGAACGTATCAGAACGAATCTTAACTATCTATCGAGATCCCTTCACCAATTAATAAATTGGGAGACTCACCGGAGCTGGGGCAGCTAATCCGTGGAGGCCGTGAACTGCATCCAAAGGACACTCTGGGGAGCACTGCACTAAAGCACTGCACTACACCTCCGGAACACTCACAGGAATTCATAGAATTGCCTGGATATCGCGAGAACAACGCGAGAACTATACGATACACCTCCGGAACACTCACAGGAATTCATAGAATTGCCTGGATATCGCGAGAACAACGCGACAACTGTACGAATCGAGAACTTGCTATACCGTAGCGAAACACGGCAAGAAAAACTATCAACAAATAGCACGGGAGCGCGATGTCCCTCGTGACACCTCGGTCGGTGCCCCGAGACAGACTGCTTTGACAAAATAGCCAAATTCGAGAACTAATAATTCTGATCATCTGATTGGTCGAATTCCTTATAGCCAATAACTTCTCTTCCCTCGAGTCGTCCCTTTAAACCTAATCGAGAGCATTCCTTAGCGAATCGGTGCGTTACTTCTACGCTTCCCCAAGGCATCGGGCGACAGCTGGGCACCACGTCCTTAACTCGGGCAAGAGGTTCCTCTCCTGCCCTTAACCATATCAAAACTCCCTCCGCCCGCTCTACAGCCCTTTGCCCATCTCCAGCGGGGCGCCGGTATCTCACCCGGGCTCCTGCCGGTCTGTGGAGACGTCTCCATCGGGTACTCTCCTCTGCCGGGCAACTCGGTACGTCGAGACTATCTCTCCACGGCAGATTCGAGCACCTCGACCTCAACTAAACAATAACGAAATCTTACGAGAGCCTTGACATAACTATACGAATCAAATCGAGAGCGCAGCCTCTGAGCAGGGTGGCGACCCAAAGGGAACCAGAAAGCGAGAACGTTATCTGTATCGGTAGCCGGAGTCGCCTTGTGACTGTGAATTGAAAAATCATGGCATATATATACTGTTTATCTACGGTTTATCTACGGATGACGGAAATATCTTTGAGTATTAAATACTTTGAGTTCCGTCTTATCGTTATTTCTTCGTTTATTTTTTCAGAATGCGCCGCACGACTTATCTGCCATTTGCTTTGGCAATTTTCACAGTGGTCCTTATCTCACTGCCATCTTCGTCACGGGCCGTTCCTGATTACAGTGATTTACCACCAGGCCCTTATTGCAGAACAAGATATCCTGCTGGAAGATGCTGCGTCGGAAGACGAGACGAGTGCAGCGCACCGATACTCACTACGTTTTGTTACTGCGATGATTTTTGCAACAGAACAAGAGAGACTGGGGATTGTTGCCCTGATTATTGGAGTCACTGTAAAGGAATAGAACCTCCGCAGGAGATAAGAGGTAAATTAATATTAAATAAATTCATTTAAGGCTCTGTGTAATCGATGGAGAGAATATCGTTTCTTTGTTTCTTCTTTTTTTCAGATTGTAGCTACAACGACTATAATTGTAATAAATGGTAAATTGATTTTTTTTTCCTATAAAAAGATATCGTTGATATTTTTGGTAAAAAATTTCAAAGCACTTTTTATATCTTTCAGCAAATGCATTAATGGATTACTCGAGAGAGGATGCGAGACGAATAAACGTTGCCTTATCGATAATGATCTAATTGGTGATATAAATAATAAGGCACCTTTCCTTGGTTGGGATGCTAAGAATTATTCTCAATTCTGGGGTAAAACTTTGGCCGAGGGTGTACAGCTCAGACTGGGTACCCTTAATCCATCTAAATCCGTAAGTGTAACTTTTAACACTGTGCACAGTTATTCTGGTGAATTATCTAATCGTGAATTTTAGGTTTACAAAATGAATCCTGTGGCGAAGATGTACAATCCTCTGACGCTGCCCAGGGCATTCGATGCCAGGGAAAAATGGCCAGGCGATATTTCTGAGATTCGTGATCAAGGGTGGTGCGCAGCATCCTGGGCAATCTCGACCGTCGACGTGGCATCGGACAGATATTTTATCATGAGCAAAGGAGCGGAACAAGTGAAATTAAGTCCGCAGCATCTTCTCTCCTGTAACAATAGAGGACAGCAAGGTTGCAAGGGTGGATACTTGGACAGGGCTTGGCTTTTCACCCGAAAATTCGGGTGATTATTAAAGATGATTCATCTCCCAATCCAGTTTGATTGACATTTATAGATCACGGCTTTATTATTAATTTGATAAAATTTTAGTTTGGTGGATGAAGATTGTTATCCCTGGATCGGACAAGACGACAAGTGCAGAATCCGCAAGAAGGGTAATCTCCAGCAGGCAGGTTGTCGGGCTCCCATGAATCCATTCAGAAAAGAGATGTACAAAGTTGGTCCAGCTTATCGTCTTGGAAATGAAACTGATATCATGCAGGAGATTATGGAATCTGGACCAGTACAAGGTTAGTAAGATTTTGTATTTAAAAATATAAAGCTGAACGCTCCTTTGCTTCTTTGAGTAAATGTATGTTTGACATGAAGAGATTTTTAAAAATTTCAACCCATCACTTTCAGCCACCATGAGGGTCTATCAAGATTTCTTTATCTACAAGAGTGGTATCTATAGACATTCTACAATCGCTGAACGTTATCCCTCTGGTTATCACTCGGTAAGAATAATTGGTTGGGGTGAAGATGTATCAAGAAATGGTGGTCGTGTTAAATATTGGGTGAGTAACGATCGATAAATCAAATTATCAATAACGAGGATCGTAAGGTATAATTTTAGTGATTTTTTTACCTTATCTTTCTTCAATAATTCATATTTTATTATTTTAGCTCGCTGCTAACTCCTGGGGCTACAGCTGGGGCGAGAATGGACTCTTCAGAATTGTTCGAGGTATCAATGAGTGCGAGATAGAATCATTTGTTCTGGCCGCATGGGCTAAGACCATTTAATTCGATAAATCAGTTCAGAATTAATAATTATTATATATTATTCGCGTCTTAAGAGTCCACCGTTCGCGTAATTTTTAATACTGCTCTATCAGAAGAAAATATACTTGTAACGATGATAGTGCATTATCTGATGGCCAACGTGAACATTATATATCTTGTAACGAAAGCAGGCATTCGTTAGTTGAGCTAAGTAAATTTAGAGAGATGTGCTACGTTATAAATAGGAAAAGCCTTAAAGTGATCTAAGCAATTATTTTTGTTATAAACGAAGTAGAGATTAGCGTAAGAAATTAATATGTATTCAACGTATGTATTGACAATCATATGCAGAGTAATTTGTGGTAATAAGTATTGTACATCCGTGTCCCTAGTGACAATAATTATTTTTACCGTGGCCTTTCAAGATAATTACATCATGTAATTTATTTTTCTCTCTTTCCTCATTTTATAACCGTTCAACCGTCATTGGCTTCGTATAACACTGCCACTATGTACGCGTAAGAAAATCATTACTTCATGCATCCCTCCTCAGAATTTTATATCTAGCCGTGACATTGAGGAGATGTACTTTTAATAAGTCTACTGTAGTACGATTATATAATATATATATCTACATATTCAAACGATTTATTCCAGCCGTCGCACTTTATTGAAAGTGGATAGTACAATTTATTTACCCTGAATAAATTTTTAGAATTCTGCCAGTTAACAGCGCCAAATGGCGAAATTTGCAGGAACCTTTAAAAGCGTGTATTAGTATATCTATTCGCACGTTCAGTTACCGACTGCGCATGGCAGTTGTTAAATAGTTTACCGACCGAGTTTTATCACAGTGTTACGAAAAATATGTGATACGGTGTGGAACACAAGTTTATCCGAAAATACTACATTGTGATAAAAGTGCGGGAATTCGTTTGGTGGTTACGAATAACTCGGCCATGAAAGTCGGCTCGTTGGCAATCTCCCTAATTTATCTTTGTTCGCATATTACGGTTTCGTACTTACCGACAAAGGCGAGTATCCCTGAAAATTAAAAATGGCAGTCGAGTGTATCTATATTTAATTTACAACCGTTGCCCTGATTATACGGAGCAAACGTTAAATCTACGTATACAACCTTTCGTGACTATTAGACGTACAATACTTTGTCTCTGAAAGCCGTAATCTACCTGGACAATCACGTAATTACAACGTTACCAAACTTTTTACACGTAATTGAGGAAAATGCCAAATCAGATACGCAATTAATGTCTACACGGAGTATTGCTTTTTATTCTCACATAAACACGTTAAGAGCCCATTACAGTTTTTAAAATCTTTTTATAAGAGTGAGCGATAAAAAACGAATTGACTTGATTGTCAAGTACGTGTGCATGGATGCTTAAAGTGGCCGTTTCTCCGTTATGACCACTATCCAAAGTACATAGAATAAGAGTCTTCGATGAGTACAAAAAATGTTTCGCGGACTGCAATTAAATTGCAATCAGGACGATAAATTGACAGAAGTAAGTAAATTTTTCACAGGTCGCAAACACGTCACTGTCGTGTAAAGAGAGAAATGACAAACCGATGACAGCAAGTTTAGAGATAGATAAAAAATATACATTTTGAGGTTATACGTCAGAATCACGTCGAATTATTGACCAGTCGTGAAATTCCAAGTAACGTGTGAACGTACCTTTATAAAAATAGACTAGGTCTGCTGGATATGTACATACAGTAGTCGTGATGCCTACATTATATATATCACGCTTGCACGGTAAAGAATTTTTACACTACCAATAATTTTACGTCGAGAGGTACGCAAGAAGGTTATTACATTAATTAATATCGAACCTCATTCTAATTGTTTACAACATTCCTGCCGCCCACGTAATTATCAGTCGCGCTACAGAGAATTAAAGAAAAACCCATGTCTTTTCCAAATAGTTTCAACCTCCACAAAATTTCATCGAAGCGTTACGAAGCTCTGGATGGAATAGATATTAAAGAAAAAAAAAAGAGGTAATTCTCTCAAAAAACAATCCACAGCGAAGAATGCAATTGTTATAAATAATTTTTTTTTTTACAGGCAATAAATACCCATATGGATTTTCAAGCGAATACATACACCACTATTGCTACATACATGCGTGTAAGATCTTAAACAATGACGTGTGGATTACTCACGCATTGTCGGAGTAAATATTATTTTTTCTACAGAAACATCCAGTAAATAAAGAAACTTCCACATGCAACAGGTACGAAAAATTGGAAAAATATCCAAAAAGTAATAAAGGGTAAATTTTGCAAAATATCAATGTCCTAAGTTAAAAAAAAAAAAGAAAAATTAAAAATATGTCAGTGACGGTCTCTAGTAATTAATTATGGTTACGTATACTGTTACTTTTTTTTTTATCTTTCTTTTAATACGTCATTTAGGCCGCGGCTACTCGTCGGTATAGTGTCTTTTACGGGATCACTACGTTACTTTAAAGTATACAGGGTGTGTCCATTATTTATGTATAACGTCCCTGTCGGCCAGATTCTCTGACTTAATCTCTCCTGCCCTCACGTGAGAAGATGATACCGCTGATTAAAATCACCGTCCGCATATCTAACAGCGTGCAGAACGTGAACAGGGAAACCACGTTCCGTCATCCCCTCACTCACTGTATACACAATACTCACGTATATAAAAGAGAGTATACGAAGTCTCGAAAAAAAAATAAAAGACCTCAAAAATCTCCAGAAGACCGAACAACCGGAGCCTTGTATAAAATTTGGAGAATAGAAATTTTCAAAATTTTTACACTCATATAAAGAATTACAGCGAGCTAAGATATGCGATACAAAGTGAAAGGACGACCAGCGTCGTTAAGGACGAAACCAGCGTCCTTGAAAAAAAAAAGTCACCCAACACCCCCTAAAATTTAAGCTTACAATTTTCAACCCCTCCCTCCCCCCTCCCACCCCCTTACAAAATCATAAATATCCGTTTCCTTCGAAATTCTTCCATCTCGCCCACACGCATACAAAGTGCCGGGGGGTTGTACAGACACAGGGGGGTAAGTTGGGGTAAGGACAGGGGTGACACCCTTAAGTAAAATAATAACGTCAGAAGAATTAAAAAAAAATTATTTCCACCCTCGACTAATTTTATAATTACCCCCACCAAGCCCGTCTTGGCCCGAACCCACCCCTAATAGGGCACCGGGTGTCGATATATGTTAATATTACAAATTCCTATACATGGTCCTACGTCATACAATATATACTTATACAGTAATTAACCATAACGATGACTCGTGGTCATAGACAATCGATCGGACAATATACAGGGTGTCGCATTTAATTTCGATTAAACCTTACGAGGTCTACTGTATATATCATAGCTTTCTACGGTACACGTACTTCATTCCCATATATATTCACCTATCATCCTCGTTCGCTCTTTAATCATCATCATCATCATCATCAGCTAGGAAATAATCAAATCACTGCATTGCAGAGGAAATATGGCATGCATAAATCATCACGTGCGCAATGAATAATCGCGCCGACGCCTTTTGGGGTGCCTTTACGTTAAAAAAAAAAAAAAAAAAAAAAAAA